CAGTCTCCAGGTTCTGCAATTGGCCGTGACTTCCTCTACACCTTCCCCTCCCAGAGAGTTTTATTCTTTCCCATGATTTTTGCCTCAGCTCTTTTCTAGCTAATGGCTCTAGCTGAGATTTTCCTTCTTAGGTCAGACTTGGAGACACAGCTGTCAACTCATCTTTTCTCTCTGGGTTTTCTAGAAGGATACCCAGCCCTTTTTTCTTTCACCAAAGCTTTTTGTCTCGGTGCTCATTGAAACTATACTTCAGCCACCAATGATACAGTGTTGTCTCTCTACTCTCTCTCCCTCATCCTCCACATTGCCAGCGAGGAAATTCTGCTGATTAACTTGTTATTATCTCCAGTGTTTCCCTGTTGCCCTTCTGTCAGTGTCTAAGTACAGGTTCAGAGACTCCTAATTTGAAGGTGCAAACATCTGGTATCTAATCTCCTAACTTAGTCTGCTTACATTGACTGTATTCTGTCAAGAGTAAGCTCTTTAAAACCAAATAATAGCCTTTACTTGACAAACATTGAATGATTTTCCAGCTGAGGAGATGGCTAAGTGGGGAAAGGGTTTCATGGGAGCATAGAGACCTGAGTTTGAGTGCTCAGCATGAACGCAGGGTAACAGCAGTATACATCTGTGACCCCATCACTGTGGGCCAGTGATAGCAGGATCCCTGGAGTTCACTGGCAGACCAGTTTAGCCAATCAGTGAACTGCACTTCAGTGAGAGGCCTGGTCTCAGAAAGTAATATGCTATAGAACAGGAACCCCGATATTTACTGGACTCCAAGTGTGAACACATATATGCATTCTCTCTCTCTCTCTCTTTCTTTCTCTGCCTCTCTCTCCCCCTCCTTCTCTGTCACATGCACACACATACTCTCCCCATCCCTCTCTTTGCTACACACACACACACACACACACACACACACACACACACACACACACTCTCTCCCTCTCCCTCTCTGTCACAAACACACATACATATTACCGCACGCACATGCGTGCGCGCACTCTCGAGCACACACACACTTCATCTAATTTGTTGAACACTCATTTGATAATCAATTCCTATTCTATCATCTTATTTCTTGTTTCACCTTTCATCATTTCTTTCATTTACCTTTTTTTTCAGGTTTATGCTCCCCAATTTCTGGCAATTCACATTATAAGATAACCTACCAGCGGATCCCTTACATATGCTGTGCAGTACAGTAGCTGTCCCCTGGGTGAAATCCTTGTTTTTCTTCCATTTTTGACGCAGTCTTAGGGATCTCCTCAAGGGCTGTTGCTCCAGCCCCCTTCTGGTTGGCTGGGGCTGGTTCAGTGCCCTCCCTTTGTGTTCTTATAACAACATTTGCAACCTTGTTTCCTATCTCAAATGGACTTTCAGGATTTAAACTTTCTGTAAGTGTGTATCACCTCATTAGTTGATTACCATCAGTATCTGTCTTTCATAATTACAGCCATTCTAAAGGCTAATGATACACCCAGGTTCATGGCACTGGTAATTATGAGTTACCTAAAAGCCAACCGGGATTTCATTTTCTTCAGTACAGCTATTGTGGGAATGGAAGCCTTTCTAAGTTATTTTCTCCCACCTTGATGTTTTATTTCTCCTCCTTTGCAAGTCTGCCACCCTTTAAAGAATGCATAGCATACTGTGTGCCACGTTGGACACCAATGCTCTTTCTCTGTAGTCCTGACTATAATGCTAGTCTCTCCCCGTCTATCGCTGTCTCTATCTAACCCATCCCTCCTATGTGTATGTGCAATTGCAAGTTCCCATGAGGGTATCTGTGAAGGCCGGAAGCAGATGTTGCCTGCTTTTCCATATCATTCTTCCAGCTTAACCCAGAGGGCTTTTTGTTGTTGTTGCTGTTGTTGTTGTTGTTGTTTTTATTTTTGAGGCAGGGTTTCTCTGTGTGCAGTTCAGGCTGTCGTGGAGCTCAACATGTAGACCAGGCTGGCCTCAAACTCACAGAGATGCACCTGTCTTTGCCTCCCCAGTGCTGGGATTAAAGGCGTGGGCCACCACCACCCAGCTTAACCTGGAGTTTTAACATTTTAGATGGACTAGCTGTCCAGTGACGTCCTCTCTCCTTTTACATGAGGGCTATCCTGTACCCTCTCCTGGAGGTTTGCCCCCATGCCTGGTATTTACCAGTGTGCTAAGAATCCAATCTTGTTACACTGTAAACACTCTATCAACCAAGCAATCACCTCAGCCCCTGGTCATGAAACTCTTACTCACTGAGATTAACTTCTCTTTTCATAGTCATTTCCCTAGGACAAACTATTAATTATAGTAGTTACAAATGAGACACAGATATAAATAAGCTTCATATTCCATTGACAGTCTATTGTTGCCGAATACAGTGCACATTGGTTATTTTAAAGAGGAAAGTCTTATGCTTTCTTCTAGAATGCATGGTTCTTTTTGTTTGTTTTGAAACATGGTTTACTGTAGTCTGGTTTGGCTTCAAACTAGCAATGTAGCCAAAGATGACCTTGAACTCCTGACCTTCCTGCCTCTACCTCCCAAGTACTGGGTACAGGCATGTAATACCATATGCAGATATTGAGTCTGCGATTAGTTCAGCTCCCTCTTCTCAGTTAGGTCTTTGCTTCTAGCCGTTAATTCGTTTTCTCAGTGGTTCTCCTCATGTTTCTGGAAGATTGTAGTATGGTCAGCTCTTTACCATCATCATCAGACCACTGTGAGCAAAAGGAAGCACACAGATCCTATGCTTGTGGGGAAGAGAAAACTGTTGGAAGTATTAGCTAAATACAATTCAGTACTTGCTCTGAAGACTCTTGGTAAGGTTGTCTGCAGAGTGCTGTTTACGTTCATAAAAGTGAACTGAATTTGGTGGGGAAAGTTCCGGAGAGTTGAGATGTGAAGAAGCCTGCACTTTGAGGAATGAAGTTTATTTGGAGCCCTGTGTCTATGGCAGGCTTTTGCTGGGCAGAAGGAAACACAGTGTGCTTGTGGAGCTAACAGAAGGCATAGGAAGGCGTGAGCAGGCTGTGTGGAGAGCTGGGCTGGGGAAAGAAAAGGTCATGCTTGTGTGGTCTTATTAAGAACTTAAGAGCAAATGAGTTCAAAGTCTTCCGACCACGTCTAAATGGACGAGAAAGGGGATTTCCTAAACTTCAATGGAAGGGATGGTAGTTGGACCTGGGGGGCGGGCAGTGGTGTCAGGATGGGGATGGCATTTTGAGATGTTGAGAAGACACATTTCTACCTTGCTGTTTTCACTGAAGAACGCATATCATATGAGAGCCAGGTGTGGGGCTGCAGTAAAAGAAAGCTGGAGTTGACCGAGGTTTGAGACATTTTATATTTGCAATATTCCCAGCAGAATTGAGAGTTGAGAATATTTAAAAACATAAGGTATTTTTGCCATTTGAGAAAACGCTATGACCAGGACAATTCATAGAAAGAAGAGTTTATTTAGGCTCATGTAGAGCTGCAGTAGCAGCAAGCTGCAAGCGTGGCAGCAGGAGCAAGATCTGAGAAATAGCAAGCAAAAAGTGGCCAAGGGCATGTAATCTCAGAACCTTCCCACCAGTGACATATTTCCTTTAGCAAGTGTCATGCCACAGAAACCTCCCCAAAAAGCTCCATTAGCTGGGGACCAAGTGTTCAAATCCCAGAGCCTACATTATCATTTACACAACCACAGATATGATCCCTGTTTTTGATGTTTAAGTGTATTGCAAAAAACCAAAAACCAAAAACAACCAACCAAACAAAAAACCCCCAAAACAACAAGTGAGCCATACTGTCTTTGGGTTTCTATTGTTGGGAAGAGATACCATGACCACTGCATCTCTTACAAAGGAAAAGTATTTAATTGGGGCTAGCTTACAGTTCAGAGACTCAGTCCATTATCATCATGGTGGGACATGGCAGCATGCAGGCGGACATGGCAGCATGCAGGCAGACATGGTGCTGGAGAAGTAGCTGAGAGCTTTTATACCTTGACCTGCAAGCAACAGGAAGTGGTCTGAGATGCTGGGTGTGGCTTGAGCGTATAGCAGATCTCAAAGCCCACCCCCACAGTGACACACTTCTTCTAACAAGGCCATACCCACTCCAACAAAACCACAACTCATAATAGTGCCAATCCCTGTGAGCTTATGGGGGTCAGTTACATTCAAGCCACCGCACATGATGTATTTAAAGGATATGTTTTTATTAAAGGACATTTTATTAAATATTTTATTACCTGGTGCTGGTTAAAATAGGGATTCTGGGAATCCATACCATTGCCTGTGATATTCAGAAACCTCTTTAGCAGGTATTATTCTTCTGAAGAGACAGGCAAGCAACATTTTAGTTTTCTTTTTCTTTTTCTGTTGCTGTGATGGTGATACTGACAGATGTGGCTCAAGGGAGAAAGGGCTTGTTTGCCTCACAATTCCAGCTTACATCCCCTCAAGGCAGAGAAGAAAACATGGCAGAACTTGTAGCAGGTAGTCATGTTCCATCCATAGCCAAGAGCAGAAAGACTCCATTCACTTTTCCTGTTCTTATATAATGCGGCATCTCCAGACCAGGAACTGGTGTCATCAGCGAGGGGGTAGATGTCCCACCTCGATTAATGTCATCAAGGTGACCCCCCCATGGACATGCGCAGAGGCCAACTTAATCTACAGTTCATCACTGAGACTCCCTCCTTGGGTGATTCTCGATGACATCAAGTTGACAATGAAAACTAGCCATCCCAGTACTATTTGAGGTAGAGCCACGGGTTCTCAAGGATCCGCGGGCAGCATCTGTACCGGGCAGCATCTGTACCGGCAGAAGCAAGCAAGAGAACTTTCCGAAGGGCAGGGTCCACAGCCTAGAGACTGGGATGCTGAGGGTATTGAGAGCGAAGGTTAGGAAGAGCGTGTCCGTTCCAGGCAAAGTTTAAACCGTTAAAGCCCAGGCTCCTGATACAAGGCCTCCGACTGTCTCCAGGTGAAACATGAAACGTTTGTTCCATTCTTCCGCAGGCTCCCGTCTTCGTCAGGAAGATTTTCCACCTCGCATTGTTGAACACCCTTCAGATCTAATTGTCTCAAAAGGGGAACCCGCCACTTTGAACTGCAAAGCTGAAGGCCGCCCCACACCGACTATCGAATGGTACAAAGGCGGGGAACGAGTGGAGACGGACAAAGATGACCCTCGCTCACACCGAATGTTGCTGCCAAGTGGATCTTTATTTTTCTTACGCATAGTCCATGGACGGAAGAGTAGGCCCGACGAAGGGGTCTACATCTGTGTAGCCAGGAATTACCTGGGAGAGGCTGTGAGCCACAACGCATCGCTGGAGGTAGCTAGTAAGTAACACGGTTTTCCGGGGGAAATGACATGGGGCCGCGTGTCTTGACAGTGGCGGTAAGAAACTGTGCATGGCTTGCAGCCTTTGCATGAGGGTTAGTCTGGATTTGTGTGAATGCCATCTCTCGTGTCCGTTTTCCTCACTTCTTATCCTATTTGGATATATAAGTCGCTGGCACTTTTATTTTATTTTTTTTGGTAGAGTGTTTGCATTGAGCCTGCTTTGGTGTCCTCCACGGTTTCTTCTAACTATGTGTAAGATTTGTCACGAAGAAAAATAGTATGCCATCCAGGAAATTGTATCCGGGAGTTCCCTGCCTTGTGAGGGCAGCCGAGCCTGAGGAGAAGCAGCTGTATGCTTGCCTGAAGTCTCTGCTTATTGACAGCTTATTTGTACATAAATCACACGTAGCACTTTCGAAATGATCTCAAGGTGGATTTGTTGGTGAATGATGAGATTGATATATCTCTACTACAGATGCACGCTGTTTGGATATGAACCGGACCTCTCTTACTTTCCATGCTCATTCCGTAGGCAGTTACAAAGTTCCCTTCCTATGAAAGAATCCTGTTATATGTATACATCAGAAATCTGTGCCAGGCATTGGTGGCACACACCTTTAATCCCAGTAGTCAGGAGGCAGAGGTAGGTGAATCTCTGAGTTAGAGGCCAGCCTGGTCTAGCGAAAGAGTTCCAGGACAGGCTCCAAAACAATACAGAGAATCTTTGTCTCAACCCCCCCCCCCCAAAAAAAATCTGTAATTACACATGGAAATTTCAAAGATGAACAAGAATAACATTAATTAATTTGAAATATATAATTACTTATGTGTCTATTAATATATGCTTATGGTTTCCCAGGATTACCTATATTTTAACATGGCATGTCCCAAGTTTTACTTATATAATGTTTAATAGTCCTCATCATTCAGCTAGAATGTGAACACATAGAGGCATACATAAGTAATTAAATTTAGAGACTAATCATAATATTAATATCATATCAACTCCAATGGTAGTAAAGGGTTTACTACCCCCCCCCACTAAGGTTTGTGGTATTTACACTAATATAGACTGCCCAACATACCTGATATTGAGAGAAAATATAAAACATAAGTAAATTGAATATAAATAGCCATTTTAGACTATGTCAAAACTAGCCATTTACGTTAAGATCTTGTTGTTATAATTTGCTTTGTTTTGAGACATGATTTTGCCATGTAGGGCAAGCTGGTCTAGAGCTTTTAAGTTTCCTGTCTCAGCCTCCTCAGCACTGGGATTACCTGCCTGGGCCGTCATACCCATTTCACACTTTAAAATGTTTCTGTGAAACCTGGGATTATGTTTCTTGTTTAAATTAATAGACGGTAAACGTACTGTCCTTTTCTTATGGACCCAACTCAAAGTGAAGGTCTCAGAACTAAATCTATAAGACAGATAGAAGCTTTGACCACAGCATAAAGTGACTTTACCTTTATGTTTTAAGCCCATCATTAAATGGCATACAAGGAAAACACTTCAATGTGTTCCTGCTTCTAAAACAATGTGCATGTTTTGCCAATTATTTTTTGCACCTCTGTAATTTTCATCATATTTTTATTATAGAATAATTCTTCTTCATTGAGGTAAATGTTAGTAGGTAAAATTCAAATGTAATTTCAGGGTATCAGAAAAGCCACTAGAGCTGATATATGTAGGTTCCTAATTATAATCAAAACAGCCAAGCACACACAGAGAGAGCCCAAAACACAAAGCAGAAATGAACACTATATTTATAAAGAGAGAAATGTATAAATATTTTCTACTTCCCAAGTTTAGTATGATACTAATGACAGTTTGATACACATGACCTCATTAAGGATAAAAAGTTTTGAAATCCTGAAGGAGTTTGAATAGCATTTGGATCAAGTAGATTTCCTACTAGTTTCATTGTAGTGGTCAGAAGAAACACTTGTTTATTGGATACTATGTTTTGCTTTTAGCACCCTACCCTGAGAAAGGCTTTCCTGTGTTTGGAAAGTTTAGAAAGGATTAATTCATAAAAAAAAAAATCTGCTTTAGCACACTGCAAATCAATATGAAGCAGTTTAGTTGACACATTTCACTCATTTAGTTTTGGCCATTACTATTGCTGTTGCTCCCTTTTCAAGAGGCTTTGTCCTAAAACCCAAACCAGGCCTTTTGTATGTTACATAGTTAATCAACTCTGTAGATAGTGAGCACAGCTGTCAGCCCTATTAGCTACAAACAAGCCTGGGAACACTGGTAAAATTGGCTTTTTATTTTTTTTTCCCAGAGTGTATGATTGCTCTTTGTTTTTCTACATGTTTCCTTAGTTCAGGTGCCATGAGTAAAGTAAGAACTATTCTTACACTCCCCAAGGCTCAGACAGGAAGCCAGAGATTGCATCTAATTTTACAGTGACGCTGTAGCCTCAGTAAGAGCATTAGCAGAAGTGTCTTGAGGCAGTGCAGGTCTCATAGAGCAGTTGTTGGTAATGCTTTTATCTGTGTTTTGCTTGTGTTTCAACCAAGTTTTACAGCTGCAACAACAACTAGAGTTCTTGGTTCCTAATATTTGTTAATCTCTTAAACTTGGAAAAATATAGAATGTTCCTTAAGCCTTCATTTCTATATAGAAATAGTAATATTCTTGTCTATTGCATATATATATATATATTTAATATGTATTTGTTTGTCTGGACTGCTTGTTATCTTTAGGAATTTCTTGTGTCATTTTTATCTGTCTTATAGTGACATAAATATATGACATATATATATATATAGTGACATATATATATATATATATATATATATATATATATTCTTGACCTGTATTAAAAATTTCATTTCTTATAAAACTCAGTTGTGATACAGATTTACTTACTATTTATAATTATACAGTCTGAAAATTGAAACAAGAAAGGTTTAGCAGTACTTATTTCTAGTATTTATGGAAAGAAGTTTGGAAACTTTGGTTTTGCAAAAGAAAACCATTTTCCTAAATTATTTCTAATTATTATTTTTGAAGCACAATCATAATATATGTATTATATATCTAAACTACATCATGTAAATTAGAAGATGCTGTTTTGTTTTTAATGACTAATGAAAACGCCTATGTGTCTAAGTCAGTTTCAACAGCAGCTGTCTAGAAATGGCCTTGTTGACAGACATATTTCCTAGTTTGTGATGAATTATACTATGATAGGGTTTAACGTACATTTTAGGAAACTGTTTAATTGATGTGTTCTTCTCTGCACAACACTAGCACTTATTAAATTTATTTTGTGCCCAGTATGAATTGGTAGCACAATTCTTTGGTACAAGTTATATTTAACAAGTATTTCGATGTCAAATAATTACTCTGACTTTTAAGGAAAATTAATTTGAACCTTGCCCTTTGTGGTTCCCATTGTAGAACGTGGCTTGCGATGTCATCTGCGAAGCAGGCAACAATCAACATATGGTTATTTGCTTCCCTTTTAATCTGATTTCTCCTGAGGAAGAGACCTTCCCTCAGGACTAGGCAGACATCTGCTCACTGTCTTAGCAGCAAAACCCAAGGAGGACTATATGTCCTGGAAAGTAGTCATTATATTAATTAATCAAAGGTGGTCTTTTTAGATTTTATTAACTACATTTCTAAAATCATGACTTTGAGGTAGAAGCAACTTTGGCTTTGAGGTCAAGAAACATTTTGTACTCCTTTTAAAACATTTTGGTCTTTTGTTGCTCTTAGTACACAATTTCTCCCAATTTGGAATTGTAACTGTCTACTTTTCTTCACTTAAGTGTAAGGAGAAGGCAGTTAACCTTATGGGTGAAATAGACATGTGTACTGGCTGATACAGTAATATGTTTGCAAAATATAGTCTATGGAAGATGGAAGTGTTCTTTCTAGGACTTCCAATGCTTTGGATGAGATTGAATGAAAAAAAATGTCACTTTATTTTTAATTTTTCTTTTGATACAGGGTCTCATTGTGTAGCTCTGCCTGTCCTAGAACTCACTATGTAGACCCACTGGCCTCTGCCTCCCAAAGGCCAGGTTTAAAGGCGAGTGCCACCATGTCTGGCTATAAAATTAGCCACTTGTGAACATTTTTATTGTGAGGCCTCTGTGTAGCATTAGAATCTGGAGTGGGGATTTGTTTAATATCACACAGCAGACGGATGAAAACCAAACTCAGGTCCTTCTGTGTTCATCTTGGACAGCTCTTCACAAAACATTTCTGAGCTTTGTGTTTTGAAGAGTCATAATGAGGTGGGATGGTGGGGACTCAGATGACAGTGATGATGAATATTAGCTGATGAATATTAGCAGAGTGAATGTTAATGGCTATTTCAGTAGGAAAGGACAGAGTTGGCCAAGCATTTCATGTTGACTACTATTCATTGTCATGGTATTGGCTTCTGACGGTGAATCTTAAGCAACAGGTTCTAGGCTCAAATATGTAGCTGGCTTTTTGACTTACAAAACTTTACTCTTCTGTCCATTTTATACTCAATATCTTCCAGAAATGTCTTTGATAGGGCATGTTAGATGTTGTTTTAACTCGCAATCACAGGTTAGAGAAGATGATTAAAAAATTCTTAAGTTAAAAAAAATCAAGAAAAAATAACTTCTCAAATTCTATTTTAGAGTTTTCTTAATTAAAAAGTATTGTCTGCCTGGAAGTGGTGGTACACATCTTTAATTCCAGAATTTGGGAGGCAGAGACAGGTAGATCTCTGTGAGTTTGAGGATAGGCTGGTCTACAGAGCTAGTTCTAGGACAGCTAGGGCTACACCGAAAACCCTGTCTAGGAAAGCCACATACCACACACACACACACACACACACACACACACACACACACGCACAGATTTTTCATTAAAGAACTGTTCTATACTTTGTACAGTTTTTATTTATTTGTTTTGTGTGTACATGTGCATGCCCTAGTGAGCACTCCATAGATACACTTGGTAGTCAGAGGACAACTTGGTAGGGCTGGTTCT